GTGCAGGGAAATCACTGGCAGGGACAGAGCCAGGAAACCCAGCCCTTGCCCTGTTCCCAGCCTACAGTCAGCACCTCCACAGCCCTACCCCACTGATCAGAGGTTCATATCCCAGCTGAGCCCCTGCCTCTGGGTACCCCTCCCCCCACACCTGCCCAGTGTCCGAATGACACCCCGGCTGTCTGCGCCAGCCGCAGCCCCGGGAACGTCAGACAGGCACCGAGGAACGAACAAAAGGCCACCAGCCCCAGCTTGAAGGTCAGTTTGGTGATGGGAATTCTGCAGACGTGAAGCAGGGGTCAGGCAGTGTTCCCTCTCATCTTCCAACCACGTGTGGGTTTCTTCCTCCCCATCCATGTGTGGAATAATTTTATGTGCACCGAGGCACCAGCCGCAGCCCCGGGAACGTCAGACAGGCACCGAGGAACGAACAAAAGGCCACCAGCCCCAGCTTGAAGGTCAGTTTGGTGATGGGAATTCTGCAGACGTGAAGCAGGGGTCAGGCAGTGTTCCCTCTCATCTTCCAACCACGTGTGGGTTTCTTCCTCCCCATCCATGTGTGGAATAATTTTATGTGCACCGAGGCATGTGTGAATGTGCACCACCCCCCAGCTTGAAGGTCAGTTTGGTGATGGGAATTCTGCAGACGTGAAGCAGGGGTCAGGCAGTGTTCCCTCTCATCTTCCAACCACGTGTGGGTTTCTTCCTCCCCATCCATGTGTGGAATAATTTTATGTGCACCGAGGCATGTGTGAATGTGCACCACCCGGAGAAAAAGCTGTGGGTGCTCTGCTAATCAGTGGGGCAGCATTTGAATTTCTCCTGAGCAGCCGCACAAGCGCACCGCTTACAGGGAACACAAGTCAGGGTCAGAAAAGGCTACGACATGCTATCGGACAGAATTCAGCCTGCGGCAGTGTTAGCACAAGGACAGGGAAGGCTCTTCCTCGTGGACTAGGAGAGACAAAAACCACACAGGCCTTGTGCTCTTTTTACGTTTCTATCTGACAGATTTAAAAAGAGGCCTGAAAAGATTCTCTCTCTAATTCTAGGTAAGAACTGCTGTTAATCAAAATTCAGGTCCATTTTCCATTTTTTTCCCCCAAGAAAAGGATGGGGGGGGGGGGGGGGTTTTGG